ACTGGTTATAAATCATTGACTACCTGTAGTGATAAAAACCAAGCTAACATCCTCTGGCCTTACCAATTCTGAATAGCAGTCCAATAGACTGTGGTCTTAATTGATCTCCGAAAGCAGAGAATAGGGAAAAGGTTCTCTGTTAGTATTTTAATAAAAATTAGAGCATCTTGGGGATTATGTTTTCCTTTCTTTTCTTTTCTTTTTTAGGAAGCTATGAAACATTTGACCAGGTTGCTGTCAGAGGATGTAGGAAAAGAGATTTATGAACTCTGGGAAGTAAGTTTCAGCATTTAAAATTATTAATGGATTTTTTTTTCTAAAGCAGTGCTAAAAATTGGTTATACTCAAAACAATGGTTTGGGGAAAGCGGACTGCTCAGTAAAGTTTTGCATGAAAGCCACCATCAATTTAAGGAATCTCTTTCTACTGCTCTTTGTAAAATTCAGGGTAATTGTTATGCAGTTAGCAATTTGAAGTATACACACTTAACATGATCAGGATACCTTGTCCATACAGGTGACCTCTTTCCTCAGTTTTTGTTTAATAGCTTCAAAGAATGAGTTATGTTCTTATGGTCACATTAGAGCATATTTTTTTTAATTTGGGGAAATACTGTGTTTCATGAAATAATATGTGTAGTGGATGATAGGAAACAGAATACTTTTCATAAAGATTATTTATTATTTGAATTATATCTCTGCTTCAATGAACCAAATCTTTATTAGGGTCATAGACCAGCATAAGAAGGGTGGAATACAAAAAATTAGTAACTTTAAAAGCTAAAAAAATATAAAATATGCAATGTTAAAAGAACATTTTAATAAGATACACACATGCACCCTACAGAAACTGGTAACAATGTTTTATATATGTGTGTGTGTGTGTATGTATGTATGTATATATATACATATACATACACACACACATACACACACACACACTGCCTGGTTTTTCCAACATTCAATATTTATAGTAATGAAAAATATAAAGCATAAAGGAAGATTAATACAATTAAAATTAAAGATTTGGGAGGATGGTAAAAACATGTATTTTGCCAAGCTTTTGTTAATTTTAATTAACAAAACATTTTGAAGTGATTAAAATAGTTAACAATGCAGATCTTCCATCATAGGCACCATGTATACATAGTCCTCGACTTACAACTATTTATTTAATGACCATTCAAAGTTATGATGGTGTTGAAAAAAGTGACTTACGAACAGTGTTCTTCAAACTTACCGTTGCAGCATCCCTGTGGTCGGGTAACTTTGGGTGCTTGGCAGCTGGTACATATTTGATACTTGCAGCATCCTGGCATCACATGATAGCCATTTACGACCTTCTCAGGGTTCATAACATGGGGGAGCCTATTTGCTTAATGACCATGTGATTTCCTTAATGGCCATGGTAAAAAAATGTTGTAAAATTGAATTGATTCATTTAGTGACTGCATCTATTTAGCGATGAAAGTTTTGGGCCTGATTGTGGTCGTAAGTCAAGGACTATCTGTAACGCTATACTTTGCCACTTTTCAAGAGCAGCCCTTAGTTTGGTCAGATTGTATCCAAGAGGTAAAAGGCTGTTGCTAAGTCCAACTGGCTTAGAAAAGTTTGCATGCCTGCAAGTATGCACATCACAGTCACAATCTGCAAATGACCATTGATGGTCAAGAAACATTCAAAAGATGGAAAGGTGTTCTTTCTGGAGCGCAGTCTCATTCAGAAAAAGCTTCAGCTCAGTACCAGAGTGAAGCATTTCACCTCTATTTTCTCTGGATTTAATTTCAACTTAATTTCAGGTCAGCTCTCATTTAGGCCATTTTTTTTCAAGTGAGGCAATATTTTCCTTAGAAATGGTTGGGAAGAGAAATGGTATTGTATATGTGTTAAACAGTATGCATGTGAGTTCAATAAATGTAAGATTCAGTCAAAACAGACGAAGTTTGTTTAGGAAGATTTCAGCTCATGCTACGTGTGGAGAATTACAATTTCAACAAAGGTTTAGCAAGATTATCTCTCTAGCAACAAAAGAGAGTTTCAGAACACATAGTTTCCACGTGAACTAAGTGAAGAGAGGCACTCTACTGGAAAAATACCAGGAGAGATGAAAGAACTGCTTTGAGGTAACTGGTCAAATCTTGTTGAAAGTTATCAAAATGAATAGGCACACTAGTCCTTGGAAGCCCCTGCATTGAAGAAGCATTCTTTGTAGGCCACCTTGATTGTTTTGGAACTCAAACCTAACCTTTGCATTGTGAAGGAAGAGGATGTTTAGATGTGTTTGAATATTAGTAGCTTGGGTTGGTAGTTGGGCTGTTGACTTGATCTCTGAGCTTGGGGATTTGGCTGCAAATCACCGATTTGCAGCCAAATCGCCAAGCTCGGAGATCAAGCCAACAGCCCAGAGGATGTTTAGTTTAGAGTGGATCTCTTAGATCAGAATGTGAACAATAACAAGATATAAACCTGCATTTGTTTCTACATGTCTGAGTTGCTAGAAAAAGTAATGCTGGGAATGATTTTCAGCCCCCTTGTGACAGGATGAACTTCTTTTCCATTACATAATTCTCTTCAGGAATATGAATGTCAATCTACTGCAGAAGCAAAATTTGTAAAACAGCTGGACCAAAGTGAGATGATTATTCAAGCTTTAGAGTATGAAGAGTTAGAGAAAAGACCTGGGAGATTACAAGACTTTTATGATACTACTGCTGGTAAATATCTTTTACTTTAAACAACTTTACATTTATGACTCATAGGACAAAACAAATGTTACAGGATGGGTTCTCTGCTGAGTTTACTTGTCAGTTACCCATGCTAATTCCCACAACTATCCTTTCTGTTCCCTCACTCCAGAAATGCTCAGCCTTCTGTGGACTTGAGCCATCTTGGATATTCTCCATATTCCATGAATAATGTTTGCCATATCCGCAAACTTTAACTTAACTGGGCAGAGCTATCCTATTGCCCAATAAGAATTTTGGCATATTTCTAATGGGAGAGAAGAAAGCCATACCCTTGTGCTTTTATGATGAAATATCTTCACAACTCAACAGTGGCTGCTCAGTGGCTTAATGACACTGGAGATGGTCTTTGCTCCAGTGGTTCGAGTCCTAGTACTGCATGGCACAGTGAGCTCCCATCACTTACCTCAGCTTCTGCCCATCTAGCAATTCAAAAGTATGTTATATGCAAGTAGATAAATAGGTATTACTTTGTCTGGAAGGTCAGAATCCTGCTGGGGCAGGACCTTCCCAATTGTGACACCCATTTGAGAAGCGGCCTTGGTGGAGGGAGAGGCCCCTGGAAGATGCTGCAGGATGCCGTTCATCTTTCTGGTGCAGAACTAGCTCGTCCCTGGTGGCGCTGCTTAGAAAGTGAATGAGCGTGAAGCAAACAGGGCCAGCAGTCTTAGGCAGCCAAACTACTATTATATATTAGCATTGTAGTCTCCTGGCTAACGTAACATTGTGAAACGCTAAATAAAATAAAGAAAAACGGGATATTAATTTGAAACAGATGACTGAGACACCCATAATCCCCTTTCAGAGTGTTCTGGTATCAAAATTCTTCAAACTCAGAAGTTGATAGCACCAAGATGGGAATGGGAAAGAGGTTGCATTGACCTTCTGGGGGCTGCTGCCTTTGGCTGACTAGAAAAAGCCTCATTGCTTTGGCCCCTGGAAATTATCAGGATTAGAGAGTTATTCATAGCCTAAATCTTGTAGAAGTCTAGTTACTCATATAAGAAATTCAATTTTGGTTGTAGGAGCTTGTCCTTCAGGAGATGGATACATCTGTTAAAGTCTTCCACATGATTGAAGTTGCAAGACATTTCTAGTTAGATTTCAAAGACACAAACTGCCAACAAGCATTTCCCTGATGGCAGCAGTTGGTGCTCCTGTTTTCCATGACTTTGGCTTGTCTATTTGTATTTTTGAAAGGCTAGCAAAACAGCTGTCAATTTATGTAACATTATAGCTCTCTGTGATGTTGATTTCAGAGGCAAAGGGCATTTAAAAGCCCAGCCAATTGTGTTGATGTGTGCTGTGGACTTGCTCCTCCTCTCATCTGATCTGATTTCAGGTGACAACATAGGTGCCTACCATTTTTTTTCAACATTCCAAACTTTACTGTAATTTTAGGAAGGAACACCTTAGAAAATAGAACTAGTCTAGGCAAACAGATGAGTACCAAATATAAAAGCTTACATAACATAGTTCTTGTAGATGAAAGTATAGTTACCAGAGTTACTGCCATAATTTTGCATTTAGCTGACTTGATGAGTATGTTAACTAACTAAAGTCTTTTTCTACAGGAAAATTTAGTCATCCAGAAATAGTCCAGCTTGTATCTTCGATAAATAGAGAAAGAAATGCAAACATAGCTGCAGAAAACAGTGATCCTCCAACTTGAATCACTTTTGAAATGTGCTTAGCTGCATCTAAAATAAATTATTTTATGATTTGAACATGTGTTTGTGTGTGGTCTTGTGGTACATATGAAGACTGCTGATTTATCAAATAATTTGTATAAAATATAGGCAATAAATAAGGTTGTGATGTGGGATTGGAAGGCAAATTTTTTTTATTGGAATCAAAAAATTAAAGTGGCTGCTTTAAAAGCATGGTTGGAGTTTTATAGGAGGCAACTAGTACCTAGAATATCCAGTAATGAATTAAAATTGGACACAGTATGAACCACTTCATAATTTCCATATCAGACTCTCTGCCCGGCAAAAGACTGTATTAAGTGAGAAAACATTTTCACCAGTTGGTCAGTTCCAGTTATTGAATTTCAGACGTGAAAACCCAAATGATTAAGCCACGTGTCAGTTTTTCAGCCTGCTTCTTTTAACATTTGCAATAAAAACAGTAACTTTCTTTAAATGAACCACATAACCCAGCAAGATAGGGAGATAAAATTGAAATGGGAAAGTAAAAGTAGCTGCTCAGGCCACATTTACATAATTTATAAATAAATACAAATAATTCAAATTGGATAATGCTTCATAAATTTAATTGAGCTCCATATCTTTTAGATATCAGTTTTTTGTTAGGTTCAGAAGTCATGCATTACAAGATTTATTATTTTTTTTAACATACTTCAAAGGTCCAGCCCTATATTAAGAATTGAAATTTTAAATATTCTCTTTAAAAAGTCTAAATATGCTCAGGTCTGTCGGATAGGCACACTTATTTTACTCCAATGGAAAAGATAGAAAAATATTATTACAATTCAAACAATTGCAGGCAAGCAAGGATATAATCTGGTTCAGATTGTTATCAGATTAAATTGGTACATGCCACGTTTGCAAGGAAATTGGAACTGTTTATATAGACCAAACTTTACTGATTGACTATACCAAAATTATCTCATGTTTTTTTTATATTTCTTCAGTACTTTGTACTAAAGGCATGTATATCATTGCTTCTTTAGACAGAAAACTTTGTGACATAATTGTTTTTGGTTCCAGTCCTCATTCCAATGGCACATATCATAATGAAGAGGCTGATTTGTTTTTAACAGTCAGAAACAGGCACATAAACAGAAAACAGGCAAAAACAGCTTTGTTATTTACGCCAGGAAAAACAGAATAGAGAAATAACTTGAACAATAATCTGATCTTATTTTTTGAAATTCATTAGAAAAACATACATGAACAAATTTCTTAAGATGATACATGCCATTTTAAAAATTGACACAATTGTATAGTGTAGAAGTTACGATGTAAAATCACTTATAAGCATAAATAGAATAAAATGGGTAATATAGAAGGACAGCTAGCAGTTACTTCTGCAGCACTAGCGGCCATTTGGTTGCATCCCAGCCAATCTCTGCCTAGTACTGCGTAGGTATAGTCTCAGTGCTGTCCTACAACTTCAGACTCAGCCCTGGAGAGAAAAGAAACATTTCGTGCATCGGTCATATGCAAACAGCAGGGCAAAGAAATCCCTCACCTAGCAGTGAAGCTCGTCTTCAGTTTCTGAAAGTCGGCTTCCTGCAACGGGGCTCCGAGCACTAGCATTGGCCGCAGAGCTAAGAATTTCTTCAAAGCTTCCTCCAGGGTGGGGTGTACCTCCAACTTTTGTCTGGAAGGAACAAAACCATTATTTTGCTATAATCAAATTTTCATCTTTGTCCCTCTGGGCTGTTTACATATTTTGACTACCATACCAGGAATTATTTCCACTCTTGCATAGTAATTTATTTATGCTAGAGCAAAAATTTATTAGTTTATTTGTGTTAACAAATAGGCAAGCTTTGTGTTACATAATGATGACAATTAAATTAGGTACAGTATATTGAAGTACAGAAGCTCTCAGATGGCTCTTAAATGCAAAGTTGGTAATAAATTCATCCACTTTCCCACACAGAGATCTAATGTTGCATTTTAGAAAAAAATAGTAACATAGGGAAAACAAGGAATCTATCTGAACAAAAGAAATTACAGGAATCCTGAAAAAAATGCAGATGATTTGGCCATAGATCTGAGAATAAGTTTTATTGAAAGTAGGACTTGCTCTTGATAAGCAATACTCTGGGATTAAAAATGCACTGGGATTTCACAGAAGGAACCCTGTGAAAATCTAGTTTGCTTGTAACACAAGTGCCAACAATGACTTAACTGACCAACTTTGCCCTAATCCCTTTTTCTTCTGTTCTTATCCCTCCCTACCTTAATGCTTGTAACAGTGGTCTCAACTTTTTCTTCAAAGGATTTGAATGTAGGAGAATTCCTTTAAGGGATAAAACAAAGAACAATATTTGTTAATACTTAATCCTGTTCATTTCCTTAGTCAATATTTAAAGGTTTTAAGTTTTAACCCATTTAGAAGAAATGAACAGTATGACCTCATGGAGCACCAAGAATAATATGAATTATTCTGAAATACTTGGTCATCCATAAAGCCCATGTCACCATGCCAATTCTTTGTGGCCTTATTATTCCAGACATCATTCTTCAAGAAGAAAGAAAAAGATACTTGTTAAAATCTATGGAAATTTGGGTAGCTGGGACTCTGCATTTGAAAAATAATGATGTTCAGAGAATACTGTATTTCAACTCTTGGCATAGGAACAAACACTTCAGTTGGAAGGCTGATGCCAAACAGAAAGAAGCTTTAATTCAATAATACAAAATGACAGAAAGCACTTAAAATTGATTCAAATGCATTCATTTCTGAAATTTTTCTAAGAAATCAGATTGTTGATGTGAAAGTCCTCTGCCACGTAGGCAATGTTAGTAGATCAAATTCAGAGTAATTGACTCTCTGGCCAGGAATTAGAATCAAGTTTGTTTCTGAATGAAAATGATCTGACTAGGACTTTGGCCTTGGAAAGTTTGGGAATAAAGAATAAGGTATGAAAATGTAGTGGGTGCCCTTCCCCTCAAAGATGCTTCCTATTTTCTCTAAATATAACATACATCAGATACAAACAAATGTTTTCAAACATTTTTGTTTTAAGGCACTGCTCAGTAATTGATGGAGAATGTTTTCTGTTCTCCATCATCAATTACTGCTACTACTCAGTACAATATTTTTCTGCCATTAAGTTTCAATCTTAGCCAAACATGGGGGTCTCTTTTAATGACTCCAAGCCTGATGTGTTTTCTTTAATCAATAATGTATCGGAAAAAAATGGAAAATGAAATTATACAAAATGTTTCTAATATTCAATATAAAGGCTGTAGGATTAAATATTTTTATAATTATAGTACCATTTGATATATAACAGTAGTTACCTCATAGCAGGCATACTCATGGAGTGGCGGATAGAATACCTGCTTTGCAAAAGCATGAAAAAGAAGAGAAAATACAAAGCTATTGCAGTTTTGCAGCTATATTGATTTCACATTAATGACATCTAGCAGTAAACTATTGTAGTTTAAATTCTAAGAACATGCTCACTGATGAAAAGCTACTTTGGAATCTCACTAAAATACAACCCTCAGTTGTCAGAATCTTATGGAAGATCTTCCGTGGTGACACTTTAAATCTACTTCATTTGCTTTTAATTGATGGACTATAGCTACACATGGTTAGTATATAACATTCTAATTGTGCCTATCACGAGTAGTCTAGGGGACTGCCAATAGCAACAGCAGGAAGGAAGGGAATGATTAAGATACTAACGGGAAGAAGAGCAATAGTTCTAAATCAGGAAATACTTTATTCACTAATTCACAAATCAATACAATCTAACCAGGGCCACATCCATATTCTGAAAATAGGAAATGGGACAGATTCAGAGCTAACTCAACTGTTTCCATTTTTCAGAAAGAAACAAGCTTTCAAGCAGCTGGAAAGTGCCAGGCTATAATTGAGAGCATCATGGATATTTATACTTAGACCAATACATGCATATTTACTGTGGAAGTGATACCTATAGTTGGAAGATCTAGTTTTAAACTTTCCTAATTATCATATTAGCAACTTCCTCAATAATGCTTGCAGATTTTTTTTCAGTCCTTAGCAATCTTTATACCGTTCAATCAAGCTATATATTCAAAAATATTTTAATTAAAGTAATAACCTCCCTCCTTAAAGGAGGGAAAAACTGTCATAGTAAAAAACATTGCAAAATATTTACAGTATGTATTTACCCTATGCACTCACGGGTAAGCCAACTTGCATTTTTCATGGTATTTTGGTTACAAAAGTTAGGATATGTTTATCTGCAGGTGGACGTGTCCACACGTATGTATGGGAAATATGGCTTATTTTAAAAAGTATTACCACATATACTCATGGATAAGTCTACCTGCAGATAAGCCAAAGCAATTTTGAAGGTGTATTTTGGCACCTAAAATTCTTGGCTTATCTGGAAGTATATATGGCATTCTTCATGTAATTTCAAAGTTTCCTAAATGCACAATGGGTGGCTTACAAATAAGAAACTGACAGACAGAGAATAAGAAGTAGTAGCAACATATAGTCACCTTACCCAAGGGAATGTGACCTGGATCAGCAGCATAAGGAAAAATCAGGAAGAATTAAGGATGGGTATATGGCTACTGAAGTTCTTTCAAAACCCAACATAGTCTACTCAGTGCCAAGAGGGATTGAACAATATTTACAGTGTTTATCATGACCAGAAAGCATGTGCAAAGAGTGCTTTATAAAGTATGTTAGTACATGCAAAGCACCATCTGACTAAATCTATATAAATAAAAATGTAAATGTTCGTTTGTTCAAAATCTTAAATCTCTGAAAGTTCTTCACCGATTGCTTTGAAATTTTGACACAACGTTGCATTCGAATACGCGCGTGTTTCTATATACCTACTTTATATAGATGTCACACCTGTGACAGGTAAAATCATACTTTTTTGAAAAACCGCCATCTGTTGGCTGAGTGAATGAGAGCCACAGCAACGCGTGGCTGGGTATAGCTAGTAAATAAATAATCTTCCATCCCTCCCAGCCACAGGTGCTTTCAGACTTTGAAAAGTAATGCCTGATTTGTAGAAAGCCCTCTATATAGCTCCCTTTTCCAATGTTTTCTCCAGCCCTATAACTATCAATATTTGCAATCTCAAATATGTTTCTAATAAGAACACGATTTTGAAAATATGTTCCCAGAGGGTGCTAGCAGTCAAACTGTAAGATGTCAAATAATTCGTGTCTGTTAAATGAAGTTTGCTATGCTCAGAACTATTTAATACTCCTAAAACATAGCTATTTTACAGAGCAGAAATTTAGTAGACTATTATCATCATCAATAGCTCTGGAAACTAAATATCAAAATAATGTCTTAGAATGCATCTTCATCCCTTAAATGAATAATATTGCTTTAAAATGTATCTATAAATGAAATCAGTAGTAACATATGCAACATAAATATATAGGTGAGTCAGTTTCATTTCAGTAGACATAAAATTAAGTGAAATTAAAAGCATGGGAGATTTGTTTGTTTCTCAGAGTCAATTTAGAATGGAATGGCACAGAAAACTTAGACATTAATTAATTAATTAATCAACTAACTCTGGCTGTGCTTGCAACATGAATTCAACAGGACTTGCAAGATAATTCCAAGCCAATTCCACTGTGAGAAATGAAAGTATTCAATGGCAGAGCTTACTTGCTAGATTGCACATTTGGCATATATAATTCAGTGGTATAAATTATGTCAACTAACCAAAGAGAAAACAATGATGATTTAAATTGAATCAACTGAAGTCCTGGATGATATAAACATGGAGAAAACCAATCTATGTGATCACTAAGAATCAACACTGATTTAATGGCACATAATCAATCATTTCCTGAACCTGGTGCTATAAAAATTACCCAGTATTATCATTAATATAAGAATATTTATATCACATTATTTTAATGTGATATATTTATCTTTACTTTTTCAAAGCTTGCTATTGATATGAGATATCTATTATTACTTTTTAAAAACAAAGTACACACAACTATTTTGTGCTACTTTATTTATCAAGTGGCAAATAACGATGGTAAAATGTACTTATTATTAGTCGAAATTATATTAGAGAGTAGCACAGTAAATTATCTTCATTCCAAGAATTCTTTTTCAAGGGGGGAAAAACATAGCTAAAGCAAAATCAACAGCAAATATGGGCCAAAACTACCCAAATTTGGCTTTGTTTGAGCTGGAAATGGAAAAGTGCAAAACCCCAGTACTGAAATGGAGAAGTCTCATATCCAACAGTATAAATTAAAGTCAACATAGGATTTTCCATTTAAGATGATGGAAGATAACTTCCAATCTAGAGATTAAGCCATGGGCAACTTGCTTTACTGCCAGTTATTGTTTTGAAGATTGGGAACTATCCTTTTGAAAATGGTTGTTAATCCTTTCATCTTGGACCTATCTCCAATGTCTTTCACCTCATTCCTACAACCTGCTAAAACCTTGGCAATAAGTAACAAAACAAATGCAAAATTAAAACTAGTTGCCTAACAGGCTTATAAACCTGGAACAGATCACCTTGCTATTTATCAGTCAGCTCAATCTTGAAATGTCTAATTTTCAGCTCTGACTGAAAAGATCCACCATGGAGCACTCTACTGAAAATGATGAATTAAGATACTTGCAGTTTTATAAGTTCTAACATTCTAATCGCTTAAGAATGTGTGCAGTCATCACTGTACGTAGCATTTCTAAGAAAAGTTTGGAGGTAAACTAGTTATTTTTCATCCCAAAAGTGCTTTTTCAAGGGAACTGGACTTAGTTTTTTCTTGTTTTGCTTCTCATCCAAGAAGCTTTTTCAATTCTGACTTCAGTTCTGAAGCAAGTTGCCTTTTGAAAAAGCACTTTTGGGACAATTATGACCTGGATGACTGAGAATCTCCATAGGTATTCTTCAAAATACTTGTCTTTAAGATTCCATCCAAGAAAAGAATTAAGCTAGTACAGTTTTTGTGGCCCAACTATACGTTTATTAGTAAGAATTAGCAAACTGGACTTAAACAAGTAAGCTCTTTGGTTCTATTGCCTATTTTCTAGGAATTAAATCAGAAATGTATCATAATAAGGTAGCAAGGAAAAATGAAAGCTAATTTAACTATGATTCAGTTTTGCAAAACTAGTTGAAGAATAACCAATGAGAACTAAGGTCATCCTTTAAATTAAATCCATATTGGCATACCTCATATCTCCAAACTTCTTGCTGATAACTGTTCCAACGTTGCTGATAGCTGCTGTGGCCTTTTGCCCTGCTTGAGTCAGAGTTTCTTGGGTCTTCTTGTACCTAGCATAGCATAAATAGCAATCCTAATTAAGAACAAGATTCATTTTTGTTCCCTCAAGATATCAGCATATCATAAACTGAAAGCAAGAAGCCAAAATTCTATTACAGGAACCGAGAGCCAAATTGCAAACTCGCTTACAAAAGAGTGAATAAGTTGTATATATGTCTAAAACGAGTTAGTCATCCTTTCAAATTATTATTATTATGCTCCTAAATAGGGCTGCGCATTGTTTGAAAATGCTAACAGTTTTTCCATGCGAGTTTAAAAAATAATATGGTCACTTTAATGAATTGCAATGAAGATATGAAGGCTTTAATGACTCACTTATTAAAGTATCCACATTCTTTTTTGAGAATCACACAGAAAACTGAAAACTGACAGCACTGTTTTAAGGGTACTGTACTTCTGCTCCCACATTCCAAAACACTGTCAAGTGGTTTTCAAAGCTTACAGCCTTTAATACTTTAGACTGGAAAGATCAAGAAACTTATACATCAACTTCCTTAGGAGATTCACGACCACAAACTAAAATAACATGAGACTTAAGTTTCCTTAATATGTTAATTGCTAGTTATCTATTACATTTTGATGAATGAAATGGGTGCGGGGGGGGGGAACAGTAAAAATGTGATTACTTAGCTAATAGAGAAACAGTCTAGAATTCTACTGTATTATATTGCAGTTTATGAAGATTGGTTGAAGAGTGAGCAACAGCATGCATCCCCAAGTATCACTAAATACATGTCAGGCCATCATAGTTCATTGGTACAGTATGATGCCCATCAGCCAGATTGATCTGTCTTGTACAGATGTATAAAGCATTATACTGGTTAAAGTTATCACATAGCTAGGAAATTCATTTGATGGTTATGGGCAAGCTGGTTTCTCAAAATCAAAATTATTGCATTGAGCATTTCAAAAATAAAATGTCAACCACAATATCAACATTAGAAAAAAAAACAAGAATAACCATTTCAGTCACATCTCACTAACTGTAGAGTTCACTGAACTGATTCATATTAAAAGGAATTCTACTTTTTCTCTTAAATTTGCACATGACTGGTTTATAGGACATGCTTTAACTTGCTATGTTTCCATTTTTCAATAGAGTTGCTTTAAAACTGTTATAAAATCTAGAAATTGGCAAGTCAGTTTTAGTCAACAGTATTTGCTGAGTATGCTCATTAATATCTGACAATTTACCTTTACCTTTCTACCTGCACTGGAAGTATATGCTCATACTCAAACACTATTACTACTATTCTTTCTTTTACTTTGACTCTTGTAAAAATACTGAGCAAGCATCAATCTCTTTACATTTATATGCAGTTGGTTTGCCAAACCCAGTTCACTAATTATAATTTAATTCAATATATTTCTTTTTTCTATTAAGTCTTAAAATGAAAACAACTGTTACCTAGAAGAATGGAGAAGTAAAAGAATAAAGTGAAATTTTAAAAAAGCACATTATTAAGAGAAACAGGATATCATACTAACAAATAATAATAAAAAGAACCTGCTAAAGTGGATCATGTTTGTACTACCTTTATTCTCCGTGATTATGGAGTGCCCATTGACCATGATTATGCCAATGGGTGCCCCAAAATATCTGTCAATGACACAAACATTTAGAAAGCAACCTGAAAGAAGTAAAGACATTTGGATCAGAACCTCCAGCAATAAACATTGAGAATTAGACAGCTGTGTTTCCTTCTAGCCAATTTTGATCAATCCACTCCCAATCTTATGGGATAATTCCAACAGATCCCTTTTGTAAATCCAGTATAGGATAGTATTCCACATCACTCTTCTGATTTATTATGTGTCTATCTTTTTTAATGTTTAAGTCATCATCCAATTTAATTTGTAAACTATTATTTCCATCTCTTTCCCATAGGCTGTAATTTTAAAATGTACTTCTAAGTCAACTTCAGTTTTATGCAACAGGCTCGTTCCTCTTCAATAACACCTTCTGATTCTACTATAATGTTGAATAATTAAAACGCTTCTTCCATGCATATATCAAACACTTCTTTTAAGATAGTCATCTGGTGCCCTCTTGTGTCCAACCTTTCAAATTATCTTATTAGTCTCAGCATATAAACGGAAAAATTTTCCCATGGAGAAGGATCCTTTCAGTTAATTTCAAAGTCTTAAAGAAGTCCAACTGAGCCCTTAATCCATTTAAAAATGTATAAGGCAACAATAATGTAATCATCAGAATTATATTTTGTGATGATCAGTAGATGATTAGTTTAACCAGGAAACTAAGAACGTAACAGATTTAAACCTTACCATTTGTACTGCAGTTAAGTGTTTGCAGAATATTAACATTTGCCATGAACACGAAGATAGTATTTTGAAAAGAGATGTTTCCATGTGTATGAATTGTTTTATATTGTGAATATTGGGATAACTAATTGAAGGTTTGGAACAATTTAGAGCAGGGGTAGGCAACCCAAAACACTCAAAGAGCCACTTGGACCCGTTTCCCAATGAAAACAAAACACTGGGAGCCGCAAAACCCTTTTGATATCTAAAATGAAGATAACATTGCGTATATCCTTTTTTACCTATATATATATATATATATATATATCTTTTTGTCAGCAAATCTTTTTGTCAGCAAAAAGAAATCTGAATTTGTAATGTATCGCAGTAGCGACTTGAGCCTCCTTAACGCCCCTAGTTGGGGCTGCAAGGCAAAAGTGATTATTAAAAAAAAAAAAATAGAACTGCAGTATAGCAGTCAAAATGCCAAGGTGCAATCAATCAGACCGGTCTGTCTGAAAAACTTGCTGTAGATAGATAGGTAGGTAGGTAGACAGACAGACAGACGATGATAGATAGATAGATAGATAGATAGATAGATAGATAGATAGATAGATAGATAGATAGATAGATAGATAGATAGATAGATAGATAGATAGATAGATAGATAGATAGATAGATAGATAGATAGATGATAGATAGATGATTGATAGCTAGATAGATACACACACACACACAAATATATATATACACACAAACATATACATACACACAAACACACTGTGTGTGTATGTATATGTTTGTGTGTATATATGTGTGTGTGTGTCTATCTATCTATCTATCAATCAATCAATCATAAAGGCAAAAAAGGATATATGCAGTGTTATCTTCATTTTAGATATCAAAAGGGTCTCTCTCCCCCTCCCTCTCTCTCTCCCTCACCTTCTCTCTTTCTGCCCTTGGTCTGCCAGTCCTCTTCCCCCTCTTTCTTTCTCTCTCTCTCTCTCTCTTTCCCCTCTCTCTCCCTCTCTCTTTCTCTCCCCCCCTCCAATCTTCTGCTCACCTGGCAAGCTGGCTTCAAGCTGTTCGCCAACAAACTGAGGGATAGGCAACCTCCGCTCATTTTATGACTCATGGACTTCAACTCCCAGAATTCCTGAGTCAGCATAGCTGGGCTAGCTAGCTCTCTCCTGCCCTTCCTGCTTCCTGCAGAGATGCAGCAAAGGGAGGAGCTCCGCCCAGTAAGCTTCTCAACTCCTCGGAGAACACCGTGAGTCCACTCTCTTTTACACATACACATACACACACACCACACCACAACACAACACAAACACAAAGAGACAGACAGAGACAGAGAGAGAAGCAGGGAAGGGCAAGTGCCTCTCTCTGTCTCTGTCTCTGTCTGCAAATTGCAGAGGAGGCTGGGAGCCACAGGGGAAGGCTCAAAGAGCCGCATGCGGCTCCGGAGCCACAGGTTGCCGACCTGTGCCCTAAGCCTATGTTGAATTTTCCTCCAATGGGATTTTCCCATGTATTTTACCAGGAAACATAGATAGGGCAGCCTAGAAAAGTAAGTGCCCTCCTAACCATACTCAAGCACTCCGAGTTCATTGGCAATGTCCATTTTGCTCTATGAGTTCATGGTGACCTAACCCTAACCCTACTTGGAATTTTCCTCCTGTGGGATTTTCCAATATATTTTACCGGGAAACATAGATAGGGCAGCCTAGAAAAATAAGTGCACTCCTAACCATACCCAAGCACTCCGAGTTCGTTGGCAATGTCCATTTTGCTCTATGAGTTCATGGTGACCTAACCCTAACCCTAAGTGGAATTTTCCTCCAATGGGATTTTCCCATGTATTTTTCCAGGAAACATAGATAGGGCAGCCTAGAATAGTAAATGCCCTCCTAACCATACCCAAGCACTCCGAGTTCATTGGCAATGTCCATTTTGCTCTATGACTTCATGGTGACCTAACCCTAACCCTAAGTGGAATTTTCCTCCTATGGGATTTTCCAATGTATTTTACAGGGAAACATAGATAGGGCAGCCTAGAAAAATAAGTGCCCTCCTAACCATACCCAAGCACTCTGAATTTGTTGGCGAGTGCTTGGGTATGGTTAGGAGTGCACTTATTTTTCTAGGCTGCCCTATCTATGTTTCCCGGTAAAATCCCATTGGAGGAAAATTCCACTTAGGGTTAGGGTTAGGTCACCATGAACTCATAGGGCAAAATGGACATCGCCAACAAATTCAGACTGCTTGGGTATGGTTAGGAGGGCACTTATGTTTCTAGGCTGCCCTATCTATGTTTCCTGGTAAAATACATTGGAAAATCCCATAGGAGGAAAACTCCACTTAGGGTTAGGGTTATTTCACCATGAACTCATAGAGCAAAATGGACATTGCCAACGAACTCAGAGTGCTTGGGTATGGTTAGGAGTGCACTTATTTTTCTAGGCTGCCCTATCTATGTTTCCCGGTAAAATACATTGGAAAATCCAATAGGAGGAAAATTCCACTTAGGGTTAGGGTTAGGTCACCATGAACTCATAGGGCAAAATGGACATGGCCAACAAACTCGGAGTGCTTGGGTATGGTTAGGAGGGCACTTATGTTTCTAGGCTGCCCTATCTATGTTTCCTAGTAAAATACATGGGAAAATCCCATTGGAGGAAAATTCCACTTTGGGTTAGGGTTAGATCA